TAATTGGTTAAGAGGAGGTCGTACTGGGTTAGGATGGGCCCTACGTCCATCACTTGTGTCTTTGTAAGAAGAAGACAGACACACAGACACACAGGGAAGATGGCCACGTGAAAACAGAGGCAGAGATTGGAGTGATGCGCCTGCAAGACAAGGGCTGCAGGAAATACCAGGAGCTGGGAGAGAGCATGGAACAGATTCTCCTTCACAGCCCTCAGAAGACACCAGCCTGCCCTCACCTTGATTTCTATTGTATTATGTCACCTGGTTTATGGGTCTTTTACTGTGGAAGCCACAGGAAACGAGTAGAAGCTCCGCAAATGTTTCTGAATGAATTGATGAAGTGTTTCTTCTTAGTACTTGTTCCTAGAAGAAGCCAGAGTCTCTGTGGCTTTGGCCCGTGTACTTCTTAAACATGGGATTCTTCCAGACTTCTAGAAAAACTATTGCACAAGCTGATGGGCAAGAGGGAACCTTGGATATTATCTGAGTTGTAGTTGTAGGATGGAGTATTTAGTTACCAGCAAAACTTTTCTGATGAGGATGCCTTCTGAAATTCCAGATTCTTGAGAAATTTCTGAAGTGCTCGTCTCTAAATTGGAAAGTGGTCTTTGAGGTATGAGTCATCTGAAAAGCTCAGATGCTGAGAAATGAGTGAAATCAAGCTTTAGTGAGAGATGAACAGTAATAGGAGCTTCTTCCTGCCCCCAGAGGCCGTGGTTCCTGGAGCTCAGCATTGCATCTGGGATAGAAAGAAATGGTGTCCCTAACCCTTGCACGTGGCTCCCACCCAACCAATTTCCAAGCTTCAAATGCAGTGATCTGAAGAACGTTAGACAAGGCTCTTCTATAGGGACTGTTACAAAGCTTTGTGGTGATGTACCAAAAGTCTCCCTTCTCCAGCTTGGTCATTTCCTTGGGGTTCTGAGTCCAGATTGTGGTGTGAAAGCAACCCTTGACAATAAGGAAACACATGGGTGTGGTCAGATCTGCTGACTCTTGGCCTAGACCATCGGGGCAGGTGACCACAGGAGGGAAACAGGAGCGGGAGGCATGGGAGAAAACAGGTGGGGGCTGACCACCCCTTCCAACCTATGGAAACTGGTGGGTTCTGAGCTAGAGAGACCAGCTCCTCTCAACGTTCCCAGGGATTTGAAAGTGAAGGTGAAGAGCTGCTTGGTGGCCTGGTTTGTGACCCTCCTTGACCCCCAGAGTTTTCCCCACACATGACCAGACAGAGCAGCCAAGACTCGAAGGGAAATGCGTGTTCATAGGTCAAAACAATGATCTCAGAAGAAACACAACACACTAGACCACACACAACATTGGAGGCAAAAGCACAGAATTGATGCAACAAAATACGATCGTAAAATGACGTAATAAATATACTCACAGAGACAAGAGAAGATTTAAGAACGTTAAACATGATGTAGACATCACAGAGAATAACCAAGTGGCAGTCTTTGGTATAAAAACATCTTTCAAATAAAGAACTAAAGAGATGGATGAAACTGAAGGTGGAGGCAGTGGGGATGGTGAGGGTGGGATTCTGATAAAGGTAGAGTGGCCAGGTGTTCCTGACAGATAGCGAAGAGAGGGTGAAAAAGAGGAGTTAAGTATACTCCCAGCCCTTACCCTGAGCCAATGGAAGGATGGAGTTGACATCAATGGGCTGTGCATGCAACAGGTTTGGGGGTAAGGTTTGTGTTCAGTTGGATGGGTTAACTTTCAGATGTCCCTAAAGGTCCAAGTGGAGATGCCAAGGAGGTGGCCGAACTATGGGTACAGAACTCGGGGCTGTCTGGGTGCAGCTTCTACCCTACAGATGGTACTTAATGCCGACGGGAATGGAGAAGAGATTCAACACCAAGAGGGCTGGGAGAGGAGGAACCAGCCGAGGAAGAGCAAGGGGGACTCAAATCCTTGGCATCCTGGTCATGTACCCATAGGATTAGTATAGACAATGAGGCCTTGCACGCTGTCAGGTCCCTATATCATCCCACTGAATGAATGAATGAATGAACGAGCGCAAGCTTTGACTCTAATCAGCACTGAGTAATGTCTCAGAGACCCTAAAACAGGAAACCAATATGCTCTGTTTCACAGTTGAAAGTTTTCTGTGCTCAAATTAGTAATGGAGGAAAATGTCTACAAAGATCTGCGGTCCAAGGAATTAGCATTGAGGACACACTGTGCCTATTATATCACTCAGGGAAATGCTCAGGGCCACTGGGACGGTTTATTTCTTCTTTGACTTTTAGGAACTCGCAATGACTTTAAATTTACTTTGTGACTAAGGAGGGTGCACATAAAAAAGAAATTGATACCGTTTTGTTTGTCTAGGAATCCTTTAATATTCGTTGTGAGCTTTGAATTGGGAGCAGCTTCCATTCTGAGGAGGGGCTGTTCTCTCTTTTCCAGAAATCACAGGAGAATCTGAAGCCTGGTCATTCTGGTCAACCAGATGTGGATTTCTGAAAAGCTGCATTTCCGCTTGGATCTGCTGCGGGAGACTGTCCAGGGGACTAACCTGCCTGACGAGGACTTCCTGGTGATTGTGACACAGGAACTTGATCAGAAGCAGCACAGTGAGTGATAATGTCCACACACGGGGCTCTGACCAGCAGGGAGCCCAGGAGAAGACTGTCATGGATTGAACTGTTTCTCCCCAAAATATCTGTCATCTTGGCTAGGCCATGATTCCCAGTATTGTGTGATTGTCCACCATTTTGTCATCTGATGTGATTTTCTTATGTGTTGTTAATCCTATCACTATGATGTTAATGAAATGGATTAGTGGCAGTTATGTTGATGAGATCTACAAGATTAAATTGTGTCTTAAGCCAATCTCTTTTGAGATATAAAAGAGAGAAGTGAACAGAGAGGCGTGGGGACCTCATACCAGCAAGAAAGCAGCACCAGGAGCAGAGTGCATCCTTTGGACCCAGGGTTCCTGTGTGGAGAAGCTCCTAGACCAGGGGAAGATTGATGTCAAAGACCTTCCCCCAGAGCTGGCAGAGAGAGAAAGCCTTCCCCTAGAGCTGCCCTGAATTCAGACTTCTAGCCTCCCAGACTGTGAGAGAATAAATTTCTCTTTGTTAAAGCCGTCCACTTGCGATATTTGGGTAGCAGCAGCACTAGATGACCAAGACAAAGACTCACTGGCAAAGGCTCCAGGGCATCATTTCTCCATTTCCTTCTTTGAGTTGCCATTTCAATCAAACAAAAACACTGAATGATTTGAGTGAGAAAAGCTAAAGCTGACCCAAAAGTCACTTTAGAAGGTATAAACCAAAAGAAATCAAGCCCATTGCCGTCGAGTCAATTCCAACTCATGGTGACCCCATGTGTGTCAGAGTAGAACTGTGCTCCACGGGGTTTTCAAGACTGTGACCTTTCAGAAGCAGGTCACCAGGCTTGTCTTCTGAGGCACCTGTGGGTGGGTTCGAACTGCCAACGTTTGGTTAGTAGTCGAGTGCTTAACCATTTGCACCACCCAGGGACTCCTTAGAAGGTGTAGAGGAAAACAAAAGTGGCTTCTAGCTCCTGTTGGGTACCCGGGGGCAGCTGCTTCCCCCTCAGGGATCACCATGCTCCTATGCAAAGCAGGCTGTCGGATGGACTAAGTAAGTGCATCCAGGTGAGGCGCACAGCAGGTGTCCCACAGGTGAGCTGTGATGACTGTTCTGATGGCCAAAGGCAGCTCAGGAGAGTTCCTAATGGCTCCATGGAAAACAGGATGAGCTGCACGGGCACCCAGATTGTCCGAGGTGGAGGAGAGCTGGGGATCATCTACGGATCTGACGGCAGTGGCGGCTGGTTCCCCTGCCATGGCAGACGTCACTAACTGGTCCTGGCCCTTTTTCCCTGGATTCCACTCAGCTCGGCCTACCCTCCTGGAGCTCTCTCGCACGCCTCCACCAGTCTGCCAGCCCTCTGTGCTTGCTTGAGGATTGGGCCCAATGCTTCTTGCTGCCATGGGCACTGTCTGCCCCCTAAGGCGGTGATTTCTCCTGGTCTGGGCACGTGAACTTGCACAACAGGTGTGTGTGTGGGGGGATGGGGATGTCTATCCCCTCCTTGTTATTTAGCTAGTCAAGTTCAGTCTTGTCGTGGGGCCCAATTTCCTTCTCTAGTGACATCTGCACAGAAATACCCATCCCCGGCCACGCTCTCGTGGACATGGTCAAGGACGTACCCACTCCCACCCATGCTCTGGTGGACACGGTTAAAGACATCTGCACAGAAATACCCACCCCTGCCGGTGCTCTGGTGGACACGGTCAAGGACCCCGGCACAGAAATACCTACCCCCACCCACGCTCTAGTGGACACAGTCAAGGATAGACCCACTCCCACCTATGCTCTGGTATACGTGATCAAGGATAGAACGACCCCCACCCACGCTCTGGTGGACACGGTCAAGGATAGAATGACCCCCACCCACGCTCTGGTGGACGCGGTCAAGGATAGAACGACCCCCACCCACACTCTGGTGGACACGGTCAAGGATAGAACGACCCCCACCCACGCTCTGGTGGACATGGTCAAGGATAGAATGACCCCCACCCACACTCTGGTGGACGCGGTCAAGGATAGAACGACCCCCACCCACGCTCTGGTGGACGTGGTCAAGGATAGACTTACACCTGGTGTCTTGACTCAGTAGTCCCTGTCTGTTCCGTTCACGAGAGCAGTGTCAGGAAGCCAGGAGTGGGAGGGGTTAAAGACCACACCAAGAGAGGCCTTCCGTGTGTCCTTCAATTTACACACTGTCCTAAAGGACAGACGGAGTGGGCTGGCCAGAGGGGCCATGGGAGCCACGAGTGAGTGCGGGTGAACTGGAGAGCTGAGCCGCGCGGTCATCTTGCAGGGAAGTCTGTGATGGGCGGTGTTTCTTCTTGTCTTCCCCGGGCGATGTAGGGCAGGAAGTGCAGAGCAAACGGAGGGAAGACAGTGTGGGGCTTCTTTGTTGCTTTGTCCTATTTCCAGTGAGTCTCCCCTTTAGGGCTGGTGGGTCATCACGGGTTTCTGTGAAACGAACACATGCACACATAAGTGTGCACAAACTGGAGTGGACACAGATACACACACCAGTGTGCACACAGATACTTGCATGAGTGTGCACACTGATACAAACATGTGAGTGTGCACATCGATACACATGTGTGAGCATGTGCACAGGTATACATATGAGTGTGCACACAGGTATGCACACATGAGCATGCACACTGATATGCACACGTGGGTGTGCAGAAGACAGACACATGTAAGTGCACACACAGATACACATGTGAGTGTGCTCACAGACACACGAGTGTGTACATAGACACGTGTGAGTGTGCCACATGGATATACACATGTGAGCATGCATACTGGTACATGTACGTGCGTGTGCACACAGATACGTGTATGTGAGCGTGCACACAGATACATACACACGAGTGTGCACTCTGATACAGTCACACAGCGTGCAGATACACACACGAGTGTGCATACAGAAATACACGTGTGAATGTGCACACATACATGCATGTGACAATGCACACTGATATGCACACGACAGCGTTTACACAGATTGGACCCTGCCCAGTGCTATTGCTTCCTGGGGTCTGGGAGGAGCCTAGGAGACTGGGCTTGCAGAGAGCCCCCTCCAGAGAAGTCAGGGGACTGCCTTTGGCTCCAGCACCCGGCACCCGCACGCAGGATTCAGCTGAACAATCTTTACAGCACTGGGTGGGGGAAAAGGTCCTGGGAGAACATCCTAACAGTCTTAGGGTCTGTCACCTTTCCTGTCACCCCCGGGACAGTGAGGTCACTTAGGAACCACTGTCTCCTTTGTACCTGTTTTAATATTTCCTGGTTACTATATACTCTGGTTTCTTTCAGGAATGTTTTCAGTTTTCCTTTAAATCTTTTGCAGATTTTATTTTACTTTTTGCTTTGATTCTCTGGTTTTAATTCTTGTTAGTTTATCTCAATTTCCTTTACTCTGAACGCTTTAATATAAATATGTAAATCTTACAAGTCACAGAACTTTAAAGACTCTTCAAGAACCAAGGTAGAAACATTACCGCAAAGATGTGGTTGGCCTTCTCCTTCTTCCCGTTGGGGTTTCTCTGCGTCAGGGAACCGCGGTACACTGATTTCCTGTCAAAGGTTTTCTCATCGCTGCCTTTGGGAAGACAGAAAGGGGGACTTCATTAATCACAAATTTACCCCAAACAAGTACCTTTGCCTCCTAAACTATTTTAAAAGTAGCTTAAAAATCAACATAGCCCCAGTTTTCTCAGCATTCAATTTTTTTTTAACAAAGCATTTACATTTTAGCAGTATTACAAATACACATCTCAATCCACTCTTTCTCTTTTGCTCTAGAGATGGGTTAAAATCCACCCTCACTGTGGTCCTACAAATCCTCACATGGCGGAACAATAGAACAACTTTGTTGCGATAGTATTTGGGGTATATCCCCTACTTTCCCGTTAATTCTGTGACGTGATACTGGGCCAGAGGGGTCTTGGAACTCGGATCCTCAGAACGAAGGAGCTGTCCTCAGGGATGCAGAGCTGGGAGCATCTGGCCTCAAATCCTAGTTAACTGTGTACGCTCATACCCACAGGTGAGCACACTCTGGTGGGGCAGACTCAGGGACCAGCCCCGATCTGCTGCTGTGGATACGCCTCTTTTGGGATTCTAGCCCACAAGGCCACCAGGAAACGCCCTCGGGGCAGCACGTGGCCCTCCAGAAGCCCCTCCTGTAGCCCCCCAGCGGGCCATCTTGCTGGCCAACTTGTCCTTCTGCCTGTGGCCCCGGGCAGGGATGCCCTGCAGAGGCCTCAGCGCCAGCTCTGTTGTGCATCAACCTGATTGTGAGCTGGGAGCTCTGACGGCGCAAAGTGGGAGCCGGAACGGGGGTGAGGGCAAGACGAGACAAGGTGGCAAGATGAGGGGGAAACAGGGCTTAGCATAGACTGTCATAGGCTGTGAGGAGGGGATGGACAGCCTCCCAGAGCTGAGGCATCCGCACTCAGCCCTTAAGGACGGACAGAGATGGGAGAAGCACAGATGCTGGGCAGAGTGCAGTGAGATGTTGCTTAGACTCTGAATGGAGGGCTCTGACCCTGGTGTGTGGACGGGAGGTGTGTGCTGTCCAGCATGTAGACAAGAGTGCGCACAGGGGCGGAGCAGGGGCGGGCTGGCAGCCAAGGGCTGGAAGGCTGGGCTAAGATATGACTTCATTCTGTAGGCACGTGGGAGCCAGCGATTGTTCATCAGCAGAGGCATGAAGAGGGCTACCTTTAGGATCATGGCTCTGGTGGAGTTTGAAAGATGGGGTGAAGAGGGCAAAGCTCAGGTGCAGGGGCGAGAGACACGACAATCGTGTGGGGCCTGAAAGGGGCCAAAGGCAGACAGGACTGGCTGTGAGCCGGGAAGGGGCCACTCCCCTCTGGTGACCCGTGTTGGGCTGCCCGGAGGGTAATGGGAACTGTGACCAAGACATAAAGGACCCCGCAGTCTCGGTAGTGTGCCGTGCAGGCAACTGTACACCATTCATCCAGACAAATTCGGTGTCCTTGTCACCGCTGAGACATCAGAAGCAAACCCATTGCCGTGGAGATTCCGGCTTGTGGTGACCCCATGTGTTACAGCCCCTTCATTAGCAGAGCTACACGTAGCTTCCACTTACCTTTTCTGCCTCTGGGGTTTATCAGGAAGCCATTTCCCTGGTGGTGCAGTGGTTAAGTGTTTGGCTGCTAACCAAAAGGTCAGCAGTTCGAATCTACCAGCCACTCCTTGGAAACCCGATGGGGCAGTTCTATTCTATAGGGCCGCTATGAGTTGGAATTGATTCGACAGCAATGGGTTTTGCTATTTCACTGACAGTGCGTGCTGTGGGCAGGTGAGGACCTGTGTAACTGTTTGAAACGGAAGAAATGGGCGTGTGCCACACATGACTGCTTTTATAGCGTATCGTATGAGGTAGTACTGAATCAATACTTTTGGTAGGAAAAATATGGATTTTGAAAACTTTTATATGGTCCATATATGTACTGATAGACACTGAGGGTAGGATTTTTGGGATGAGGCCAGAAAAAAATCCATTATCACCTCCCAAAAATTCAGACACACTCAACGATTCGGCACGCCTTCCCTTAATGAAAACAGATGGTACTAACAAAAATTCAAAGCAGAAAATAATTGGGTGTTGAAAGCAAGAGAGTAGAACTGAGCTCCTTAGGGTTTTCTTGGCTGTAATCTTTACAGAAGCATATCACCAGACCTCTCTTCTGCGGCTGCTGGGTGGGTTTGAACCACTAACCTTCAGGTTAGTCTTTGAGCGCCAAGTGTTTGCACCACCCAGGGGCCTCACTGAAATGCCAAGGAAGGCTAGACTGTGTTCTGCCCTTTGTGTACAAGAACTCTGTACCATCAGGACCATTTACATTGCAAAGCATTGAAAACAACAACACCACCTTTGTATGCTTAAAGCAGCAGATTCCATGACCCAGGAAACCAGCTCACTGCTAGTCTTTCTCTGTGCCCACGCCCCCAGGGTGGCTGGAGCAGCCCCAGGAGGAATTTTGGGGTGTCCAGGGCATGAGATGGGGTGTCCCATGGCATGGTCTCCTTTCCCAGACCCCACGGGAAGGAAGGAGACGGTGACTCTCACCTGCACTTTTAGGGGAGTGACTGAACTTCCTCTTCAGAAGGTAGGGGACAGCCATGACCTGGAAGAAAGGAGACGTCATGGCTTCACTAAACTCCTGTGATTTTTTAGGAACACCAAGGGCTAACTTTGAACTTCTCAACGTTCCTCCAGGTTCTAGATCAATCATGTCAACTGTCTTCTGTTCTCTGGCAGTATTTGAACCTTTAACCATATTAAAACGCATGTTATCAATAAACTAAGCACCAAAGGCCTGCAGAGAAAAAGAGAGGTGTCACTTTTGGAGAACTGCCAGCTTTGGGGGAGGTTATGGCAGAAGGAACCCAATCTCAGCTCCACAGACCTGGGTTCAAATTCCAGCGCTACACGTGCCACTGTGTGACACGGGCAGCTGACCTACCCTCTCTGAGCCTCAGTCTACTCTCCTGGAAAATGGACCAGTCCCCCTCTTTATGGGGAAATTGGGAGATTAATTGATGTGGGTCTCACATCTTTTCTTCCCTCACGCAGTGTGAGCTGAAAAATCCGTGTTCTTGCCAGTTTAGAAACTGGATAAGAGAATGATTATGAAATGCATTCTCTGTTTTGCCTTTTCCAGGGTAAAGAGAGATAAAATGAACTAATTCCCTTAGAAATGCTTTCTAACATCTGGCTTCCTGGGTTTTGGGGTGCACCATGGCCCAGTGAAGGGCTGGGGATGTCAGGGTCAGGGGGCCTGGGGTGAGACCCCCTTGTCACTTACGATCTGTGTGAACCTGATCAAGTACACTGACCTCCCCTAGCCTTCAGGAAGGACCTGGAACAGATGCCTGGCTTCTTCTGGGGTGACTGGGAATGGTGCTCCCTAGTCATACCTAGGAGCCGTGGTGGCACAGTGGTTAAGTGCTCGGCTGTTAACCAAAAAGTCAGCAGTCTGAATCCACCAGCCACTCCTTGGAAGCCCTAGGGGGCAGTTCTGTTCTGTCCCATAGGTTGACTATGGGTTGGAATTGACTCCACGGCAATGGTTGAGTCATATCTAAACTCAGGCAGTCTCAATGGCGCCCCTGCGGGGCCTTCTGTCCCTGTTATCACCCGCCATCTTCCTGCCGTGCCCACATACCCCCACAGCCCTGTGTGTGTCTCTCCCAGCAGCCAGCACCCGCGTCTCAGGTAGACTGTCCCCAAGCTGTGCCTGTGCAGGGGGGTCAGAAGTGACTGGGAATGTGCGCCATCCAGGGTGGCCCTTCAGAGGAGTCCATGGTCCAGCCCCGTCCCCTACACAGCATGACTCTGGGGCAGACCTACATGTCTCCCCTGGAGGACTGAGCCGAGGTTCCCCTCTGTAGGACTCTGCTTGACATCAGATCCTGCTCGCCTCCTCCCCTCCCAGCCCCACTTCCCCCTCCCAGCCCGGTTTCTCCTGGGACTTGCCCGGCAAACACCTCCTCAGGCGCTCCGTGTCTGTGTGTGCCTCTGAGGAGCCTACCAGGCTGCCAGGTTCTGAAGTCTGCATTTCAGCACTGTCATGATTGATTTGTGTCCCCCCAAAATATGTGTCAACTTGGGTAGGCCATGATTCCCAGTATTGTGTGATTGTCCACCATTTGGACATCTGATGTGATTTTCCTATGTGTTGTAAATCCTACCTCTATGATGTTAATGAGATGGGATTAGAGGCAGTTATGTTAATGAGGCAGGACTCAATCTACAAGATTAGGTTGTGTCCTAAGGCAATCTCGTTTGAGATATAAAAGAGAGAAGTGAGCGGAGACACAGGGGAACCTCATACCACCAAGAAAGTAGTGCCAGGAGCAGAGCGCATCCTTTGAACCCAGGGTCCCTGGGCTGAGAAGCTCCTAGATCAGGGGAAGATTGATGACAAGGACATTCCTTTAGAACCGACAGAGAGAGAAAGCCTTCCCCCGAAGCTGATGCCCTGAATTTGGGCTTCTAGCCTCCTGGACTGTGAGAGAATAAGCTTGTCTTTGCTGAAGCCATGCACTTGTGGTATTTCTGTTATAGCAGGGCTAGATGACTAAGACAAGCGCGACAATGCCAGGGGCTGTGGCTATCCACAGACTTGTCATTCTTCTGCAAAGCTGTGCCCGTGTTTTGTTCTTTGTCAGCCTCTCGAGTTTGGATGGAAGAACACCTACCTCGACCTCACTTGAAGGGTCTGGATTTGGATCCTCAGGGCTCTGGTCAAATTTCCTGACACGTCGAGGAAGGAATATCTGGAGGGCAAGGAAAAAGCATTGGATGGCTGTTTTCTTCACATACTTGGTTAAGGATGCTGAGGTAGAGTGTCAGCCCCCTCCACCCCCCCAAACCACTCCAGTCCCCTGGGACTAGGGTTGCCACATTTAGCAATAAAAATACAGAACACTCAGTTAAGTTTGAATACCAGATAAAGAATGAATTTTTTTGTGTGTGTCCCAAATGGAGCCCTGGTGGCGCGGTGGTTAAGCGTGCAGCTGCTAATGAAAGGTCGGTAGTTTGAATCCACCAGCCGCCCCTTGGAAACCCTATGGGGCAATTCTGCTCTGTCATATAGGGTCACTATGAGTTGGAATCAACTCGATGGCAACAGGTTTTGTTTTTTTTTATGTCCCTAATTATTGCATGGGCTATACTTATACTAGAAAATTCTTCCTTGCTTATCTGCAATTCAAATTTAACTGGTTTTCTGTATTTTACCTAGCAGCTGTATCTGGGACTCCCCTAAGAGCATCTTTTATTCTTCCACCATCTTTTATTCGTCACCCATGTGGTTTTGTCGGAGGAGCTCTGACTGGAATCAGGAGACAAGGATTTCTGCTCCTGGGGTGGGTCCCTAGGCAGCTCCATCCATAGATTCTAGTCACCTATTGCTGTCGAGTGGATTCCGGCTCATATGACCCTATAGGACAGAGTAGAACCATCCCGTAGGGGTTTCCAAGGCTGTAATCTTTATGGAAGCAGAGCTATCTTCAGTTAGAAATGAACAACAAATAACAAACCAGGAAGAATCAGAATGCAGACACGGTCCACCAACTGGCTATCAGGAAACTAAGGCTGGCAGTCCAAGGAGAAGGGAGGTGGCTGGCTCAGGGCTCCTGGTCTCAGCCCACAGGGGTGACCCTGGGCTCCTGGGGAGATCTCTGAGGGCACCCACTCCCCCAGGGGCCACCATGCCTCTCCACTCACCGGGATGTTTGACCTCCTCAAGGGCTTTCTGGAGGGCCTCACTGTCAGCCCCGCAGCCTGCAGGGCCACAATCCTGGACTCGATATTGGACACCTGGGAGAAGAGCAGACAGACAGACAGATGGCACTCAGATGGAACAGAGACAGCAGCTGGCCCTGCTTCACTCAGGGAGCCAATTTTACGTTTGTTTGCACTTATGATGGGCAGTCTAAGCTGAGACACTTCTTGGTGGTCCCGTTTATCTTCCATGGTTGTTGGGGAGGGAATTGGGTGTTCCTTGATGGCCACCTCCCAGGTGGAAGGAGAAGGGGGATCTGTACACTTTCTGAGGCACGTCAGGAGGTTCGGTTCCCATCAGGAATTGAAGGAGAAGCAGTGATTTGGGGAAGGGCCTGGCTGGGGCTCTAAGGGATGCGCTCTTCCTTACGGGGCAAGGGCTCCATGGAGGCTGGCCAAGTTCTGCTTTCCTGGCACAATTTCAAATCGTACTTGGACCCGGGCGTTCTGCCCCACCCCCACTGGCACCATTCCTGTCTTCCCCCCAGTGGCTACACCTCCAACAGCCCCAGAGGAAGCTTATGAATACAGAAACCAGGCCCGTTTCTCTTGGTTCAGATCCCTCCAGCAGCTCCCCAGATTCTTCCCCCGGCCCTCAGGGCCCTCTGTGATCTGCCCATCTCCCGGGCCTGCCTTCTGTCCCCCTTACTCCCTCTGCTCCAGGCTCGGGGTTCCACTGTGACCCTTGACACACCAAGCTCAATGCCACCCCAAGCCTTTGCCCTTGCTGTCCCTCAGCCTGGACTCCTGTCCCCTAGGTTTCCCATACTGCCGTCTTTCCCAGTGCCTCTCCCTATCCCGCTATAGAAGTAGCCCCACGCCAGCACTCCTTGAGTTAGTGTTGTCTTCAGAGCCCTCCTCAGGAACTGACTGATGTTGTTGTGTGGGTCTCTCTCCTCCCACTAAAACCTGAGCTGCACGAACAGGGTGCTCTGTCTAAGACCTTCGCGGCTGCAGTTGCTGGCCCTGCCCGTCGCCTGCCACCTTCTAGGTGTCTGATGATGGTCTGTGAGTGCAGGAAGGAACAGAGCATGAAAAGTCCTTGGCCTGGCTCGCTCTTTCTAGTGGGAACAGCTCTGGGTGATGTGGCCCTCCTTGCAGAGGAATGGGTACTTCCTGATGAGAAGAGAGAAGCGGGTGGTGGTGCTGGCTGACCACGAGGTCTGGGGCTGACACTCTCTTCTCTGTAACTCTCCTAGGGGCCTGGATGCTCTGACTCTGTCCTTTGGCCTTTGCACTGGAACTCAACTCTTCAAGCCACAGCTTGGGCTCACGGGGTGACCCTCGGGGGCAGGGTCCTGTCCTGAGCCCTGGTGGGCCCTAAATTCTGGGTGCCTCTGGGCTGCTCCGCATGCGGCAGGGAGTGGTCAGTACTCAGCCCCTTTCTCCGTGGTGGAGAACCCTGGCTGTCCCTCACCAGGAATACAGGGCAGGATGGGGGTGTTCCAGGGTGGTGGGCAGGGCACCCACAGAAATCTCCAGACTCATTTCCCGCCTTCATGAACACACACATGGAGCCTATGGGGAAGGGGCTCGTGGGTGGCTTGTTCATGCTGTCGGACCTGCCACCTCTCTCTGTCTTTGCATCACCGCGAGCTCCCTCCACCCATACGGGCTACCTCACTCTCCGCCTGCTGGACTTGGGAGGCCGCCACAGCCACTCTGTCCTCCAGCTCTGACAGCTCCTCGTCTGTGGTCCTGGAGGGCAGGCTGTGGTCCTGGGGGCCCTGAAGCTCCGTCTCCCATCTGTCTGTCTGTCCTGCAGCTGCACACACCTGGGAATGGGAAGGGCCACACCTGACCACCAGCTCGAGGGGCTGCAGGATTCCCACCAAGATGGGTCCCCGATGGTCTCTTCTCCAACTCCTGGAGCTGCCGACCAGCTGCCCTCGGTGCCAATAGCCGGCAGCCCTGGGGTTGGCTGCTGTCATGGATTGAATTGTGTCCCCCCGAATAGAATCCTAACCCCCATACCTGTGGATGGGATCCTATTTTTAAATAGGGTTTTGTTATGTAAATGAGGCCGTATCAGCACAGGGCCTGTCCTAGACCTAGTCACTGCCGAGTGATGACAAGGGCAGGGTGGACACTGGGAAGACAGACACGACGTGAGGATCGTCTACAAGCCAAGGGCCAGGGAACACCTGGGAATACCTACAAGGAAGGAATCCACAGGGCTAAGACCCTGGTTTGGACTTTTAGGCTCTGGAACTGTGGGACAATAAATTCCTGTCCTTTAAAACACCCACTTGTGGTATTTGTTACAGCAGCACTAGGTGACTGAGACACTGCCTGTGCTGAGGGGCGCTGGGGGCTTTTCACAAACAGCTGGGTGGCTGGGGTCATGGACCCTGGCCCCTACCTCTCCCTGTGTCCTGCCAGGACACTCCGGTGTGGCCTCACCTTTGGGGCTGCCCCCGGGAGGTCCCCGCTGGTGGCGCCCATGTCTGACTCCACCAAGGTGTCTTGGCCCCCCTCTTCCTCAGATGAGGCACCCTGGTCACTGACGTTGTCGGTCAGCTCCTCCAGCTTTGTCCTCAGGGTCTCCTCTTCCAGGTCGGCTTCCGTGTGCTTGCTGGTGACGGGGTGCTGCAATGAATGAGCGAGTGAACTAGTGCTCCCCTTACCCTCCCCCGCCGGTGGTCTGGAACCACTGCTCTGGAGAGGCAGGGCTCTGGGCCCTCGGCCATGTCCTGGAGTGCTCCTGAAGTTCCTGCGAGAGCTGTGGTCTCCACCCACTCCCTAAATGAGCTTCCCCCAATCCCAGCCCTACAGAACCAGGCTCTGCCCATGGCTGAGACTCGCCATCCTGAACAAGACATTGAGTTTCCTTGGTGGCCGTGGGTGGCCCTCATCTGATTGGCTGCTAGGTTTTCACAATGAGCAAACAAATCTTCCCTCTGTCTCCCAAATCAGAGTCCCTGGGTGGTGCAAATGGTTAATGCGCTTAGCTGCTAACTGCAATGTTGGAGGTTCAAGTCCACCCAGAGGTGCCTCAGAAGAAATGCCTGGCAATCTCAAAGAGCACAATGCTTAAAGACCAGCTATTGAAAACACTGCACAGCACAGTTCTACGCTGACACACATGGGGTCCCCACGAGTTGGGGTCGACTGGATGGCAACTGGTTTTGGCCCCCCTAAATTGGGTCCCCACGCCCTTTCCTTTGGCTCCCACCTCTGGAACTAAGGTGCTTAACCAAGATGGCAGCCTCGATGTTTAAATCTTGCCAGCTGGAGGCTACTGGGGGTGTTGACGATTCATTTTTCGAGGTTCTTTCTGCTCTCGCTTGGGGTAAAGTTGGAAGTGCACCATGGCTAGGTGGCCTCATCTGCACAGAAATGTGATGTCCCTGTAGGGCTCTGGGTTCTGTCTCCACCTTGCGCGATAGCCACAGTGTCCACACCCACCGTTCATCTCTCATAGGGTTGCTATGAGTTGGAAAGGTATTTTTTTTTTTAGTACTTTCTTTTTATTGTTATAGTTTAAGTGAAAGTTTACAATTCAAGTTAGTCTCTCACACAAAAATTTATACACACATTATTATGTGACCCTAACTGCTCTCCCTATACTGTGACAGTACAATCTTTTCCACCTCTGACTTCCCGTGTCCATTCAGCCAGCTCCTGACCCTCTCTGCCCTCTCATCTCACCTCTGGACAGAAGCTTCCCATTTAGTCTCACGTATCTACTTGAGCTAAGAAGCACTCTCTTCACAAGTATCATTTTATGTCCCACAATCCAGTCTAATCTTTGTCTGAAGAGCTGGCCTTGGGAATTGTTTTAGTTCTGGGTTGACAGAGAGTCTGGGGGCCATGCTTTCTGGGGTTCCTCCAATCTCAGTCAGACCATTAAGTCTGGTCTTTTTACTAGAGTTTGAGTTCTGCATTCCACCCTTCCCCTGCTCCATCAGGGACTCTCTATCGTGTTTCCCGTCAGGGTGGTCATTGGTGGCAGCCGGGCACCATCCAGTTCTGGTCTGAGGCTGATGGAGTCTCTGGTCTATGTGGCCCTTTCTGTCTCTTGGGCTAATACTTTCCTTGTGTCTGGTGTTCTTCATTCACCTTTGTTCCGGGTGGGTAGGGACCAATTGATACATCTTAGATGGCCACTTGCTAGCTTTTAAGATCCCAGATGCCACTCGTTTTTTTGGTACTTTAGTGCAAGAAGAGGCTCAAAGCCTTTTCAGGGATTTAAAAGCTGCACGTGCAGCAAGTGAAGGTGACTGTGAGGAAGAATTTGTTACGAGTCTCCGAGGGAGGGCGCATCTACATACCACTGACCGACGAGTATGAGTCGTTCATAAGTTGGACGTTCGTAACCTGGAGACTGCACTGCCTGTATCTCGATTTACTTCGGCTAGTAAGAAATTTAAGGACCTCTGGTGGCACAATGGTTATGCGCTTGGCTGCTAGCCGAAAGGTTGGTGGTTCAAACCTACCCAGCGGCTCCATGGGAGAAAAGACCCAGCAATCTACTCCCATAAAGACTTTGGGCTAGGAAACCCTATGGGGCAGTTCTACCCTATCACATGGGGTCGCTATGAGTCAGAATTGACTCATTGGCACCCAACAACAAACAACAGTAAGAACCTCAGAGCTATACTTGGTGCTGACCTCTGCTGAACATCTTAGTCCATACTACAGCTGTTCCTCTGCTTCTTGAAAGGAATTTTCAGTTTTTGTCCTAATTTTTGTTAAGTGGGATTATAGCTGTAATGCAGAATGCTCCTTAGAAGGAAAGATGGCAAGACTACGTCTTACATATTTTGGACATGTTATCAGGAGGGACCAGTCCCTAGAGAAGGACATCATGCTTGGTAAAGTAGAGGGTCAGCGAAAAAGAGGAAGACCCTCTGTGAGATGGATTGACACAGTGGCTGCAACAATGGGCTCAAGCATAACAGCGATTGTGAGCATGGCGCTGGACCAGGCAGTGTTTCATTATGGGTGCTTAGGGTCTGCTATGAGTCGGAACTGACCTGAAGGCACCTAACAACAACAGCATAGCTGTAACTGGAGCTGGGGCATGAATGGGGCCTGGAAGGAAGGGCATGAACAAGTATTTAGCACCTACGAGGTGCTGGGTGTTCCTCATTTAATCCAGGCTCTCATTATCCTTATTGAAGTCTCTGGGTGGTACAAATGGTTAATGCACTCAGCTGTTAGCTGAAAGAGTGGAGGTTCAAGTCCACCCAGAGGCGCCTCAGAAGAAAGGCTTGGTGATCTACTTCTGAAGTCAGCCACCGAAAACCCTATGGAGCACAGATGTACTCTGACCCATGTGGGGTCGTCGTGAATTGCAGTTGACTCAATGGCAAGTGGATATTACCAGCCCTAGGCCTGACGGGGCCAGGGACAGAGCTTCACTAGAACCTGGGACAGAGGCAGCCAGCCTGGCGGTGCTGCAGTGTGGACGCTGTCCCTCTCCACCACTGGCCAGTGCTCCCTGGTCGTGAAAGCCAGAGCGAAAGGGCCCTGTTGATACAGTCCACACACCCCCGACCCTGTGGACTCCGGAGCCCCCAGCAGGCTCCTATGGTGCCTGGGGTTGTCCCTTTGCCTGCATCTTCGCCCATTCTAATGCCTGGAAAGGACCTCTGCCGGCACAGTGGCAATCCTCTCCTGTAAAGATTTCAACAGGAAGAAACTCAGACGTAAACTTACTCCTCACCTCTGGCTGCTAACCAAAAGGTTGGCGGTTCGAACCCACAAGCAGCTCCGCAGGAGAAAAGGTCTGGGGATCTATTTCTGACCAGTCACAGCCATTGAAAACCCTGTGGAGCACAGTTCTGCCCTGACATGCATGGGGTTGCTATAAGTTGTAGTCAACTCGATGGCACATAACAATGATAACAGCAACCACAGCAACGCCTGGGAGGAGCCCCCGGGGGGTGCAGACAGTTAACACACTCAGCTGCCAGCAAAAAGGTGGGAGGTTCGAGTCCGCCCGGAGATGCTGCAGAAGAAAGGCCTGGTGATTTACTTCTGAGAAATCAAACACTGAAAACCCTGTGGAGCACAGTTCTACTCTGACACACGTGGGGGCGCCGTGAGTTGGCATTGGCTCGAGGGCCACTGGTGTATTGGCCGTCACCCTTATTTTATGGATGGGGATGCGGAGGTGGCATGGATTGAATTATGTCCCCCCAAAAATGTGTCAACTTGGTTAGGCCATGATTCCCAGTATTGTGTGGTTGTCCTCCATTTTGTGATTGTAATTTTATGTTAAAGAGGGTTAGGGTGGAACTGTAACCAGGTCACATCCCTGATCCAATGTAAAGGGAGTTTCTCTGGGGTGTGGCCTGCACCACTTTTTATCCTACAAGAGATAAAAGGAAAGGGAGGTGGCCAGAGAGGGGGGACCTCATACCACCAAGGAAGAAGCACTGGGAGCAGAGCGTGACCTTTGGACCCAGGGTTCCTGCATGGAAAAACTCCTAGTCAGGGGAAAATTGACAAGAAGAACCTTCCTCCAGAGCCGACAGAGAGAGAAAGCCTTCCCCTGGAGATGATGTCCCCGACACGGCCCGGAGGCTCTGTGCAGCCTGGATGGGCATCACAGCTGTCCTGATCCTCCACTCCCCTGCCCCACCTGGCCTCACCCTGCCTCCCATCCGCCGCTCCTACATGGGGACCCTAGAGAGAATCACTCCTGTTCCCAGAGAGCACCCTCCTGCCCCCTTCTACGTCTCAGGGCAAATGTCCCCTCTCTGTGAGGGCTCCTGACAACCCTAGTTAAAACTGCACCCCCCAGCCCCAGCCTGCCCTGAGCTCTGCATCCCTGACGGCCCCGACCAGGTCACCCTGGGACACGCCTTAGTTGGAACCGGTGCAGGAGTGCAGCCGCTCACCCAGTGTCTGTTGATTCTTCCAAGGCTGCAGATTCAGACCTTGATTTAGTGAGACAATCGTGGAAGACAGAAAGTGTGTGCATTCATTTGCTTGTTTGTTTGCTCATTCATTCGTTTGCTCATTCATTCATTCAGTCTGCATTTCGGCGGTTGTCCTCCGGCCGCACAAAGCAGACTTCTAGAACTGTGAGTTGAGAGCCCCACGGACGTCACCCCAAGAATTTCACCACCTCCCACTCCTCCCTTCCTTCCAGAAGGGGTGAGTCACTTCCACTGACACCAGAGTGCTGAGTGGAAAGACACCAGGAAGCCACCCCCAGGTGCCGGTCCCGCCAGCATCCACCCCTCTCCCCCGGCTCTCCTGCCAGCCCTGGATACTGCCCGCGATCAATGAATTTCCTATTAGAAGGAAACCTATTGAGACGGACGAGGAGGTGGCACTGCCGGGTCTCCCAGAGTGAGCTCAGCGGCTAATGGCATTGTGATCGAGCGCGAGCGGCACCTTCACGTAGGACGTTCTGCCGCCACAGCCAGCTTTCTGGAGAAAGCTCAATAGTCGAAGCTGCAGAGGTCATGTCGGGCGGAGAGAGCTGCGGTGACTCTGGCCTGTCAGTCCTCCTGGATCTGACAGGAGCACAGCTTTCTCCCCGTGTAAGTGGGAGGAGAGACTGTGGAGTCCCCCCAGGAAATGGGAGCCCAGGGCTGCCCATAAGCCAGGACCCCG